AGAGAGAAAGAGAGAGAGAGAGATGGAACTTGTAGTTTTTGAGAGAGAGAGAGAGAGAGGAGAGAGGAGAGAGAGAGAGAGAGAGAGAGAGAGAGAGAGAGAGAGAGAGAGTGTGTGTGTGTGTGTGAGTGTGTGTGTACTCACATCCAGTTCCTAGCTAAGGGCTTACGTAAAAAAAAAAATTGTACCTGGCGTTCTCATAGCTAGTTTACCTCAAAGTATTTGTACGTGGGGATCTCGTAGCTAGGGGCTTACCTCAAAAACAATTTGTATGTGGCTTTCTCGTAGCTAGCTTACCTCAAAGTATTTGTATCTGACTATCTGGGGTTCTCCTAAGTTGAAGCTTACCTCAAAGTACTTGTATCTGACTATCTGGGGTTCTCCTAAGTTGAAGCTTACCTCAAAGTATTTGTACGTGGGGTTCTCGTATCCGTTCATCTGCATGTTGGCGACATGACGCTCCTCCGGTGAGGCCGATGGGTCAACCTGTGGTTAGTTTTTAAGTGAGAGTTTTCAGCATTTGCAACACAATAAGGTCATATAGGTACTGAAGATTAGACAGTGTTACAAGAGAGTAACAAACACAAAAATGACGGGAGGAGAGACAAGGACTGATAATGTTTGATAGGAAAGAAGGTTAGTTTTAGTAGAGGTTTTACGGCGCTCGCAACTGCATAAGGTCATATAAGCGCCATAAGATTAAAGATGTTACAAGAGAGTAACAAACACAAAAAAAGGAGGAAAGACAAGGACTGATAGATGTCTTTATAGTTTTAGTAAAAGTTTTACGGCACTTACAACACAATAAGGTCATATAGGTGTCAAAGATTAGAGGTGTTACAAGAGAGTAACAAACATAAAAGAAGAAGGGGAGATAAGGACGATAGATGTTTGATAGGAAAGAAGGGGAGATAAGGACGATAGATGTTTGATAGGAAAGAAGGAGCAAACCACACCAGAGCACCCGCCAACCACCCACAAATAATAATGGTTCTCCTGGTAAAACAATAGAAATAAAGGGGAAAAAACAAAACAAAAAACAACTCCCTGCTTACTTGTGCACATGTCATCCATAGACGCCACTAATATGAAGTTAATATGAGGACCATAGATGTTGGATAAAAAGAAGAAGAGATTATAAGGACGATAGATGTTTGATAGGAAAGAAGGAGCAAACCACATCAGAGCCCCCGCCAACCACTCACCTCCACGTATCCTGGGGACGGGTACTGGTTGCGGTTCTTGCGCTTCACCATAAACACAGCAACCACGATGATGACGAACACGCTGACACCTCCCAGCGCGATGCCGATGGTGCTGCCCATTTGGCTGCTTGTTGCGGCCGACTCGGCAAAGCCCTGGCGAGGTGGAAAATGTAGTATGTTTAGTTTTAGTAAGAGTTTTACGGCATTAGCAACACAATAAGGTCATATAAGTGCCGAAGATTAGAGGTGTTACTAGAGAGTAACAAACACAAAAAAGAAGGAGGGGAAATAGAGAAGATAGATTTTTTAAAGGAAAGGAGCAAACCACACCAGAGAAGCACGTCAACATAATAAAAAGAAACAACCAAACAAACAAACAAACAAAAACCCCCCACCAAAGTTTTGAATTACAAAGTTTTTTTTAGTTTTAGTAAGAGTTTTACGGCACTTGCAACACAATAGGGTCATATATGTAAGTGCTAAAAATTAGAAATGTTACAAGAGAATTAGGTTTAGTAAGAGTTTTACGGCACTTGCAACACAATAAGGTCATATAAGTGCCGAAGATTAGAAATGTTACAAGAGAGTTAGGTTTAGTAAGAGTTTTACGGCACTTGCAACCGAGCAAAGGAATGAATGGAAAACCACGATCGCCGATGTCTGTCCCAGATCTGGCACTGGATGATGATGACGCAACACAATAAGGTCAAATAAGTGCCGAAGATTAGAGGTGTTACAAGAGAGTAACAAACACAAAAAAGGAGGAGGGGAGATAGAGAAGATAGATTTTTTAAAGGAAACAAGGAGCAAAACCACACCAGAGCACCCGCCAACCACCCACGTTTCGTTTCAGTAAAGAGAAGAACGTCAACATAATAAGAAAACAAAAACTAAACAAACAAACAAAAAACCCCCCACCAAACTTTTGAATTACAAAGTTGTTTTAGTTTTAGTAAGAGTTTTACCGCACTTGCAACACAATAAGATCATATAAGTGCCGAACCACCCCCACACAGTATCCCCGCTCACCTGTCGCACGTGCATCTTGTCGTCCATGCGGTGAGCGATGAACTGGCTGCCTCTCTCGTAGTCGTGCTCGTCCTCCGAGACGTCGTCGCCTTCCTCATCCACCTGCTCGCTGCTAAGGTCAAAGTCGCCCGCGTCGTCTATTCTGATGTCGTCGTCAGGGCTCACGCTGTCGCTGGCGTCTTGTGGAGCTGAAAAGAGTCGGGAGTTCGTTTTAGTTTCAAAAGTTTTTACCGTCATTCAATATTCAATGCAGGGGGGAAAAAAACCCAGACAAGGAAAAAACAAGAAGAGGAACAGACAAGCAGGCAGGCTGACTGACAGACGGACAGATAGACACACAGACAAACAGATGGACGGACGGACAGACAGACAGAGAGACAGACTCTAAAACAGACAAAACTAAAAAAACCACCAACACAACGGACCTACCTCAAAGCACTAAAATAAAAAAAAAAAGACACAACAACGTACTCTAAAACAGACACAATGTGACTCTAAAACTAAAAAAAAAACAACCACAAAAACCGCGTACGTACCTTCCTGTAAGGCAGACAGACAGACAGAAAACTCTAAAACGGACAACACTAAAATAAAAACCGACACCACAACAACGTACGTACCTTCCCCATAAGACTCTAAAACCGACACACATAAGACTCTAAAACCGACACAATGCACGTACCTTCCTGGTGAGACTCTAAAAACTAAAAAACCCACCACCACAACAGCGTACGTACCTTCCTGCGAGGCCGACTTGGTCTGCGGCTCCTCTTCCACCTTGGGCAGGGGCAGCACCACGTTCTTGATGCTGTTGGCGATGGCGTCGAAACGCTTCATGAACTCCTCTGTGGGGCAAGTGGGAGTTAGAGTTTGAGTAACAGTTTTACGGCACTTGCAACACAATTAGGTCATATGAGATAAGTGACGAAGATTAGTTTTAGTTTTAATAAGTTTTATGGGCGCTTGCAACACAATAAGGTCATACAAGTGCCGAAGATTAGAGTTTTAGTTTTAGAAACAGTTTTACGGCACTTGCAACACAATAAGGTCAAACAAGTACCGAAAACTAGAGATGTAACAAGGAAGTAACAAACATGAAAAAGAAGGAGGGGAGATAAGGACGATAAATGTTTGATAGGAAAGAAGAAGCAAACCTCACCAGAGCACCCGCCAACCAACCACATAGTTTTAGTGCGAGTGTTATGGCACTTGCAACACACTAAGGTCATATAAGATAAGTGCTGAAGATTAGAGGAGTTACAAGACAGTAGCAAACACCAAAAAATAAAGGAGGAGGAGAGATCAGGACGATAGACGTTTGATAGGAAAGAAGGAGCAAATAGACACACAGACAAACAGCACCCCCACGGGGTCTCTTTGAGTGGCCGGGCAGGCAGTACTGACCAACTCCGTGCCTGACTTGGACCTTGGTGTTAGGGTAGCTTCGACAGACAGACAGACAGACAGACAAATAGACAGGCAGGCAGACAGACAGATTTGGATAGACAGACAGACAGACATAGAGATAGATGCAACAGACTGACAGATAGACAAATGGAACAGATAAATAGATAAACAGACAGATAGACCGACAGACAAATAGAGGGGGGG